CATTTGAGGAGTGAAACCAGTGAATGGGAGAACACACTATGTCATGTCTGTCTCTCCTCTCTCTGCCTCTCTCTTCCTCCCCCTTCCCTTTCTCTCTCCAGGGGATGGGAGCTCACACTCTCTGTGCCCATGTCTGTCTTTCTCAAAATAAATAAAATTATCAAATATTTACTAGGTACATAGTGTAGGCCAGGAACCCTGTTGAATGAAGGGAACACAAAAATGAGTAAGACAGATTTGGAATCTGCTCTCCCCTGATGCTTACATCCTAATAGGGAAGACAAATAAAAATAATGCTCTGTAGGGCTAGGCTAGCAGAGGTGAGGGTTGGAAGAGGAGGAGGCTGAGGGAATATACAGCAGGGTCACCCAGGTAATAGGACATACGTGAAAGCTCCTTCCTTGAGTTTCAAAGTGTAGCTTCAGGCCAGTGTTGTGGTGTAGTAGGCTAACCCTCAGCCTGCAGCACCAGCACCCCATATGGGCACCAGTTCGTGTCCCAGGTGCTCCTCTTCCAATCCAACTCTCTGCTATGGCCTGAGAAAGCAGAAGATGGCCCAAGTCCTTGGCCCCTACACCTGCTGGAGACCCAGAGGAAGCTCCTGGCTCTGGATTGGCCCAGTTCTGGCCATTGTGGTTACTTGGGGAGTAAACCAGCGAATGAAAGAACTTTCTGTCTCCCCCTTGCTCCGTCTGAAACTCTACCTCTCAAATAAATAAATATTTACAAATAAAAAAAGTATAGCTTCAAACGCTCTAGGGTTTCTGTAGAGTCCCTTCAAGGTTTCAGAGTAAGATTCTGTTGGGATAAAGAGTTTTACAACCAAATAAAGTTTTAAATCCCACCAATACAGTCCAATCTTCTTTTTTAACAAGAATAAACAGGACCCAGATGAGGTAAATTATTCACGCAATATCTCAAGTTAGTTGCAGGCTGGGATACCTGCTTGGAACTCTGCCTTGAGCTGGAAACTATTCACTGATACCACGCGGTTTGGGCAGATGAACGAGCACTAGGAGTGAACATATCCAGAACTTGAAGGCTTTCGCCAGATAGGCTGGCTGTTCATATTGGCTATTTCTACCTTGGGCCCCAAGTTAGATTTCCGAACTAAGTGGATGTCTCCAAATCTTCTCCAAGGTTGGCCAGTCACTTCTTTGAGGGGGAAAAGACTGGCATTTGAATTCCATGGTCTTCTGGCATCCCAGCTGGTACCCACACTTGCATCCTACTACCATCTTTAAGCACGCTATGGTTTGGCAAGTTGAGAGACAGAAGTGAGCTTAGCCAGTCATCTGGCCTGTTCAATACCGGCCAGTCCCAACTCTCAACTCCCTAACTACCACTAGGCTAATCAGTCTGGACAACCAAGTGTTCAGCAGAATCAGGTTATCAGCAAATTAAAGGACTTGTAAAAAAAACAAGTATACTTTTCATCAACCTCTTGGATACTCTCAGGAATGAAATGTTGCCTCATGTTTTGGAAACAGGACTTCTGTGAATAAAGAAAGCAGCAGTTTACTTGGTAAGATGAGTCTGCGGTCTTTAGACTGAGGTCAAACAAACCCTTTGGAATCTGGAAATGCAAGTTTAAATCTTAGTGACATCAATTAGCAATTCCAAATCCTCTGAACCACAATTCTTCAATCATAACCAGGGAGTACTAATAAAGCCTATCTTATAAACATGAGACTTGAAGCTCTCTTTCAAATCACAGCCACTTATCAAATGTTCTGTATCAATATTTATACCTCAGATAATTAAGACCTCCAATTTCAAATTACCACTCCTTAGAGCACAAATAGTGTAGTGAGAAATCGAACGAAGGTGCTCACTATAGCACAGGCAGATCTAGACCGGAATTGTCACTTCCCCACCACAAACTGTGGAATCATGGGAAATTCTCTTAACCTCTCTAGCTTCAGTTCCCTAATTTATAAAATGGAGTTAACGCTAATTCACAAAGAGATAATGTAAATGTAGGCAGAGGGCCTTAAGCAGGGGCTTGTGTACAATAAAAGCTCAACAGTCAGTAGCCTTTTCTGCTAATAGCGCTTTTCCTAAGCCCTCTTTTCTATTCACCTCTCCAAATTAGGAAAAGCCATTAGCAAAGCCCAAATTTCCTCTCAATTTCTACAAAAATAATGAAACCAGACTCCCCCCCCCCAAAAGGAAAGGAACATAAATGAACTGCTATTCCAGATTATGTCTCATGCTAATGGTAACTGATATTCAAAAACATAGGCATAATACCCTGAAGAACCACGGCATGAGCATTCTTTCCAAGGAAACAGAAGAATGCACCAAAGCCCTTTAGCCACACTACCCTCACCCTTTTTTTAAAAATCTGACTTCCACAGTTGTTGATCGATCAAGCAGAAAACACTACAGGGAAGGAACTCTGCCATCGCATGCAAATCACTGCTCTTTTGTAAAGTTATTCTCTATAGTTTTGTAGCTCAAACTCTTCCTATCCTAAAGGCTTCACTGCCTCCCCCTAGCAAACTCTAGCACTCGTCTCTGGTGCCCTACTACACTCGTTACACATTTCCATTACAGCAATTACCTAGTACTGTAATGGGCAATTAGCATGTCTCCTCACTAAGCTGTAAGCTGGTAAAGATCCTGTCTTACTCATCTTTGAATTCTCAGAACATGACACACAGTAGATCCCCATAATTATATATTAAAAGATGGAATTCACCTTCCCTTTCACTACTCAAGGGTGAAAGAAACAGCTGAAGAGACAGTAGTAGAAACTTGCACACAAACTAAATCCTGCCAGACCAGCTCTCTGGTCTTTCCGGAGCTTGAAGTGGGTGAGTACTCTGCTTCGCAGTTACTTTCTTCAAACATACACAGAAAAGGACAGGAACCAGTGCGCACAGAATCTCTAGACAACAGATTATTATATTTTTCCTCAGAGAAACAAACAAGTGACACGGCTTCTGTGATGAATGCTACTGATTTCACATAAAGTTGATTTCTAGGCATGCCACTTCGGAACATATATTATACTACTAGACGCTCTTAAATCCTTAAAACAATAAACAAAGAAAAGCTAAGAAGCAAAAATAAAAAATGTCTTACAACAAAACTTTTGCTCTTTATGTCAATGAATGCAGAGGTAACTAAATCTCCCTTTGAAAGATATATGTAACTATCTCAAAGGAGAGCCTGCAGCTAATCATAAATAATACTTCAATACAGAATTTACTCTTTTCAAGGTGCTTTCAAATATATCTCATTGAGCCACAGCCAACTGTAATCACAGAAACTTAAAGCTAGAAGAGCTCTGAAGGGCATTTCTACAACTACCATATCTTTTTTTTTTAAGATTTTATTTATTTATTTGGAAGTCAGAATTAGAGAAAGAGAGACAATCTTACAGCCACTGGTTCACTCCCTAAATGGCTGCAACGGCAAGAGCTAGGCCAGGTTGAAGCCAGGAGCTTCATCCGGGTCCCCCAAGTGGGTGCAGGGCCCAAGCACTAGGGCCATCCTCCACTGCTTTCCCAGACACATCAGCAGGGAGCTGGATCGGAAACAGAGCAGCCAAGACTCAAACCAGCTTAACCCACTGTGCCACGGTGCTGGCCTACAACCACCCAATCTAACCAACCAACCAGTAGCCAAATACCTCCAGCCTCTAGTGACTAGGAAGTAAGGGACCACAACGCCTCTTTAAAAACCACCCTGAGCTCTGACCACCTGTCAGTTTCTCAGTCTCCTCCTCCCCCCACCTTAACGTTCCCAACCAAGCAAACCAACTCCAAGTCATCCCGCCATCCATCAACAGTCTTTGCTTCCTAAGTTCACAACTTTCCCCTTTCCCTGAGCCCCTCCCCAATTCCAGCCACCATCCCCTGACCCGACGCACAGTCAGGGCCCCTTAAGATTGCGACCCTCAGAGAACTCACTGGTCCCAACCCTCTCAATCCAGCCCCTGGCCCTATTCCACGGTGCTGTCTCCATATGTTGTCACGTGCAACACTGCAAGCACCTCTGTGCTATCAATGTCCTTTTGACCTCAGAACTTCAGAATCTCCTTCCTCTTAATTCTTCCAAGGACCATTGGTAATTCAACACACTAGTCATGAAATGTCTGTTAGGTAAACGGGACATACGCCCTCAAGGAGACTGCCTGCAATGAACTCAGAAGAGGGGAGACAGGAGGAGGAAGGGGATGGAAGGAAAGAGAAAATGAGTATGTATCATTTATCCAGTACTCAGCAACCCTGGGAAGCCTTCCCTAGCCTAGGCCCAATTCTCAGTGCCATCATTATACCTCCGATGCAGTGAGGTGGTCTCATCTGCTTCCCACAGCGGGACGGTGGGCTCTACAAGGGAAGGGCCCCTGGTGCCCTAGCACCTAACCCAGGACTCCGCACAAAGGTGATAATGCTTGTTAAATGAGTGAACGAATGAATTCCAGTATACAATCATTCAGTCATCCATTCTTTCATTCGTTGACCAAAACTTTACTAAGAACACACGATGTACAAGTACTAAAACGCAAAGATAAATAATAAACAAGTTCCTATTTAAAAACAAGCTAATGCTATAATACCAGTAGATTAGCCCACTTTCCCAGTCCGTGTCCCCACCCCCAGGCCAAGCCTAGACAGATCCACTCCTACCGCTCAGCCTGGCCTTCCCTGGAAGAACTCCACGCCCCTCCAACTCCTAACCTACCGCTCAGCCCTTCAGCCCTGCTCTTGGACCCCCAGCTAATAATCTCCAAACCGGAACACCCCAACCCCTGCAGCCTCTCTCCGCGACTTCCATCTTCACCCCTGAAGATACCGCAAGCCTTCTGCACCCATGACGGACTCGGGGACCCCAAGCTCGGAGTCCCCCCGATTCGTCTCTCCGCACACCCGCTTTCCCCCTCGGGCTCCTTCCCCCTTTCCTGGGGCCGCCTCCTCTGAAACCTCACTTTTCACTCCCTTCACTTTCATGCTGAGTCGCTCCTCTCTTCGTCTCTCAGGTCTTCTTACCTCATCCAGCTCCCGTTCCACCGCAGCACCTCCTCCAACCTCCACCTCCACCACTGCCGCCATCTTCAAGGCTTGCCTCCTCCCCGCCGTCCCCGCGCAAGCCAGCTGCTTCCGCCGCTCAAGGGCTCGTAGCCAATCGGCGGCGCGGGCTCCAGCACAGGGGGCGGGGCATTAAAACAGGCGGCGAGCTGTCAGAGACCTAGAGACTACCTATCTGCTACTCGATTCAGATTTAAGGAGGACTGATTCCTCTGCTCTTCCAAGCTGAGGCGGCGGAGGATAAAGAGAAAATGAGAAATTGGGCTTGTATTATTGTCACTGCAAAGGTTTCACTAATCTCCCCTTTGGAAAGTCAAAGAGTCCCTACGTGGACAATTTGCGCGACGCTCCCTTACTCTGGGTGCCACGGTGTGATGTGTGGGAACTTAGGACTACATTTCCCATGTGGCACCGAATTTGACCCGGAAGTGCAAATTATGCTCCCGCGACAGGACGGTCGTCCGTGAAAACATACAGAAACACATCTCACGCACACACACACGCTCGTGTGTTTCTCTGGCTGGTGTATCTGTCTTCTTGCCTCAGCGGGAGTCATTTTTCAGAAACGCGGTTTCTTTAGGCCCCAGAACGAATTCCTGAGCTTCGAGAGGAGGAAGAGTGACGCTAGGGGTCAGAAGGCAGAGGTTAGAGGGCCGAATTGGCGGGAGAATAGGTTTGTGGTCCAAGATCAGAGATTGCAGAGGCTCCTTAAAGTTCATGGTTCCGGTGAGATGCGCTGAAGTTCGTTGATGAAGAGGGGAGTGGCCGATAGGTAGGACGGGTGGGTATAAAGGAATGGGAGGAGCTGCCGGTTTCGGGGAGCTGTGGAAGCAGCCGGGAGTTCAGGCTTCTGATGCTGAGAGCTGAAGAACTTTGCAGGATTTCCTTGGCCCCCGAAGCCCACTTATTTAGGGTTTCATGCCGTTTCATACGCCTCCGTACTCGTTCCTATTCCACATCCTGCGTCCTCAGCTCCGACCCCTCTTTCTGTAGGTCTTACTCACTGTGTCTCTTCCTACCTGATTTTCAACGCCCTGTCCCTTGTCCACCTGAGCTAGTACTCGGCAAGTCTGTAGCCCGGCTCACACACCCCAGACGTCTGGGCTGGATCCATCCAGGGAACCTGTGGGCTCCACAGAGGCCCTAGAATACCAGTCAGCTTTATTTGGGTGCCACCGGGAAGTTAGAGGATAAATATTTACCCCTTCTACAGGCATTTAGTTTACTTAAAAATAATGCAAATGTAAGTTGAATTTGCCTCTTCTGCTCTTGGGCCAGTTACCCTCTCATCCTCCCCAGAAACAACCTTTTTTATGAATTAGATGTGTGTCTGCCAGACCTTAAGAAATTTTTGTGTCTATCATACACAGTATATAGCATTAGTTTTTAATGAACATAAATGTTTTCTGTGTATCATTCTATAACCTAATTATTTAACTCAGTGTTATTTTTGAGACCTGTGTTTGTTTAATTACATCTAATTCATTCCTTTTATCTGTTACATAGTTTTGTGGTTTTTTTGTAATATATAGCATTATACTTCTTTAAAGATTTGTTTTATTTATTTGAAAAGTAGTGTGACAGAGAGAGGAGGAGATAGATCTTCCATCTGCTGGTTCACTCCCCAAACGGCTGCAACGACCAGTGCTGGGCCAGGCCAAAGCCAGGAGCCAGGAGCTTCTTCTGGGCCTCCCACAAGAGGGCAGGAGCCCAAGCACTTGTGCCATCTTCCACTGCTTTCCCAGGTGCATTAGTAGGGAGCTGGATTGGAAGTGGAGCAGCCGGAACTCAAACCTGCGCTCATGTGGGATGCTGGCATCACAGGCAGCAGCTTTACCGTCTACACCACAGCATCAGCCCCTTGTCGGCCTTTGGTTAAGGAGTTTGTTGTGTTTGCCAGAAATTTGTGCTGAAACTCTGATTGGAGTTTTATTAACTTACAAGATTACACTTTCAGTGGATATTTGCAATGCCTGTATTTCAGGTTATCTCTGAGATGTAGAAGATGATGAAAATGACAGAAATCTGTATCCTGAAAGAGCTCACTGCTTAGTGAGGAGGCACACAGGGGAGGCCATTACAAAAACAGGACAAGAGCATTTGTAAAGGTGAGCCTACAGTTTGATAGACAATGAGCCCCATGAAAAAGTTGGTATAAGTGTTGTTCTCCACTGTGTGTCCACTACAGAGTACAGTGCCTGGTACCTACTAGACATTCCTTAAAGTATTATCTGAATGCAGTATCTAAGATTGACAGTTTCAGGGTTGGGGCTGGTTAACTCAGACATCGTTTGTTGGTGGTGAGAACTGGTGGAGTTTTTCATATCACTTTACAAAAACGTATGGGCTGCCGGTGCTGAGGCTCAATAGGATAATCCTCCGCCTGCGGCACCGGCATCCGGGTTCTAGTCCTGGTCGGGGTGCCAGATTCTGTCCCGGTTGCTCCTCTTCCTGTCCAGCTCTCTGCTGTGGCCCAGGAGTGCAGTGGAGGATGGCCCAAGTGTTTGAGCCCTGCACTTGCATGGGAGACCAGGAGAAGCACCTGGCTCCTGGCTTCGGATCAGCATGGTGCGCCGGCCGCAGCAGCCATTGCGGGGGTGAACCACCAGAAAAGGAAGACCTTTCTCTCTGTCTCTCTTTCTCACTGTCCACTCTGCCTGTCAAAAACAAAACATATGGGTTGAATAACTTTATGTCAAATGCTTGGGACCAGATTTTGGAATATTTGCATGTATCTTGGGGAGAAGTGTTTTTCTAAACATGAAATTCATTTGTGTTTTATATAAACCTATACACATAGCCTAGAGGTTTTATCTAGTACTTTTAGCAGGCCTGTGTTTTGACTATAGTCCATCCCATGAAGTCAGATGTGGAATTTTCCACTGTGGCAGCACTTTGAGTTGCTGACTGGGGAGCATTTCAGACTTTAGGTTTTCAGATTAGGGACGCCCAACCCTACCTACTGTGAGTTCCTCCAAAACAGAGACCATATCTTATGTATTTTGGTTATTTTGACATCTCCAAGAGCCAGCAGAGGGTGGAAGAGCTGTTTAACGCTCAATGAGTTCCTGCTCCCTCTGCAGGGCTGCCGAGGTGACTCGGGACCAGCCTTCCCTCTCTCTGAGCCTTCGCCGCACAGGGACTGCAATGCCTGCCGTGGGGATGTGGCTCACTCAGGGTGTGCCGCTGATTGCTGCCGTCTCCCCGACTTTGAGTGCTCTGTGACTGCCAGCCTCTTGGAGCTCAGTTTTTAGGGTCACTCTGGCAGTGGACATTTGCCAGTCAGGACCCGGATGCTTTTCCCTCCTATAGAACCTTGTGTATTAGGTACACAGAAATGAGTCAGGCATGAAACCTGTTCTCCAAGAACTTAAGTCAAGAGACATATAATTGTAATACAAGGCACTCTGTGTTACATGCTGAATGAGAAATGGCAGGATGGAGCTGCCACCTGGAGCTGATTAAGCAGAGTGGAGGTGACATTTGAGTACCAGAATACATTAGGTTTAACAAGTTGGAAAGAAAGTGAGCATTCCAAGCAGAGGCAATGGTGTGAGTAAAGCCTTAGAGGTAGGAATAAAATATTTTTGGTAGGGGTAGGCACGAAGACAGTTTTAAAGATTTATTTAATTATTTGAAAGGCAGAGTGACACAGAAAGAGAGGGAGGAAAAAGAGAGAAACTTTCCATCTGCTGGTTTATTCCTCAAATGGCCACAACAGCCAGGTCTAGGCCAGGCTAAAATCAGGAGCCAGAAACTCCATCCTGGTCTCCCACATAGGTGGCTAAGAACCTGGACCATCTTCCACCATCTTCCCTGCCAGATTAGCTGGGTTAGCAGTGGAGCAGCCAGGACTTGAACCAGCTGCCCAGTAGAGATGCTTAACCCACTACACCCCAACACCAGCCACAGGCAAAAAGACATTATAATCAGGAGTATATCAGAGGTCGTAGGCTCAAATTTTTAGGGGCCAGGTCAATAACAAACGTGAGTAAAATGGGCCAATATAAATATTTGAAGAGACCCTATCTAACAACATTCAGACAACTTTAAAATATTTCTTACCAGGGGCAGTGCCGTGGCTCACTTGGTTAATCCTCCGCCTGTGGTGTGGGCATCTTATATGGGCGCAGGGTTCTAGTCCCGGTTGCTCCTCTTCCAGTCCAGCTGTCTGCTGTGGCCCAGGAAGGCAGTGGAGGATGGCCCAAGTGCTTGGGCCCCTGCACCCGCATGAGAGACCAGAAGGAAGCACCTGGTTCCTGGCTTTGGATCTGCGCAGTGCTGGCCATGGGGGCCGTTTTGGGAGTGAACCAACGGAAGGAAGACCTTTCTCTCTCTCTCTCTTTCTGTCTATAACTCTACCTGTCAAATAAAAAAATATATATATTTCTTACCAAAGAATTCTTGAAGCTATGGGTTGAATGCATGAGAGTTCACTATAGTAGTATGTGTGTTTGTGCATGAATTTAAAATTTTCCACAAAAAATTTATTAGAAGACAAAGTATAAATACCCCATATAAACTTTTTTAAAGACTAAATAAATAGGCAAAACAGTGACTTGAATAAAATACATCCTCTGATTATGAAGCAGGAAACATACAGATGTACATTGTAGATGCTTTGAGGAGCCAACCTGAATTAATATTTTTAGAGCAAGGAATTCGCATACATCAGGAAGTCATTGAAGATTTCTAGTTAGAGGAGTATCTTAATGAAAAGCTAATTTAGGAAGAAGCATTTTGTGAAAAGAACAAAACAGAGTACTAGCATAGATTTAGTTGAGCATTGTTATCATTCCTTCCTGTGTACTAGTTTCTAGGAATATGAATCCCTTAAGGCACAATTCATGTTCCTGGGGATGGGAGGAGGGGCTCACCTATAAGTATATCCAACATTAACATCAGAATATATTATTTCGTACTTGCCGCTCTGTCCCCTTGTGGCTGCATTCCAGTTGTTTCACATTTGTTGGAGCTGTCAGCTGGTGCAGATCTGCTCCCTTCCCCCCATCCCCATCTGGCCCAAGGAGATTGTCAGAAATGGACAGGCCTGTGCCATGACTTACTTGGCTAATCCTCCACCTGTGGCGCTGGCACCCCGGGTTCTAGTCCCAGTTGGGGCACTGGGTATTAGTCCCGTTTGCTCCTCTTCCAGGCCAGCTCTCTTCTGTGGCCCGGGAGGGCAGTGGAGGATGGCCCAAGTGCTTGGGCCCTGCACCCGCATGGGAGACTGGGAAGAAATACCCGGCGCCTGGCTTAGGATCGGCGCAGCGCCGGCCGTAGCGGCCATTAGAGGAGTGAACCAACGGAAGGAAGACCTTTCTCTCTGTCTCTCTCTTACTGTCTATAACTCTCTCTCTGTCTCTCTCTCACTGTCTAACTCTGCCTGGCAAAAAATTAAAGGAAAAAAAAAAAGAAATGGACAAACTGACTACTGCAAATGACTCCTATTGTCATAGAAACAACCATGAGTAGCTTATTTTTCTTTTATTCTCTTCTTCAGGAGTATTGTGGAGATTCTTACTCTTCTGAAAACTGACAGAACCAAAAGATAGGCAGTACCAAAGTGGAGACAGAAGAAATCTTGGGAGAAAGCATTTTTGCCTCCTACTGGGACAATTGCTGGGTCCACCATGGCTCCTGTGAAGATCAGCCATGTGGTATCATTTTCCTCTCAGGTATATTAATTAAAAAGCATGATGTTTTTCTTGTTCCTTTTTTAAATTTTCATTTTATTTGAAAGGCATAAAGAGACAGACAGAAAGAGATCTTGTACCTGCTGGTTCACTCACCAGATGCCTACGACAGCAAGGGCTGGACCAGTCTGAAGCCAGGAACCTAGAACTCCATCTAGGTCTCCCATATGGGTGACAGGGACCCAAATACTTGAGCCATCATCTGCTGCCTCCCAGGGTGTACATTAGCAGGAAGTTGGATCAGAAGCAAAATAGCCAGGACACAAACCAGGCACTATGATATGGGATGCAGACATCCCAAGCAGTGTCTTAACTGCTGCACCAAACACCCACCTGATATTTTCTTAAAGATATATTTATCTGTTTGAGAGGCAGAGTTACAGAGACAGAGATCTTCTATCTGCTGATTTATTCCCCACATGGCCACAGTGGCTAGAGCTGAGTCGATCTGAAGCCAAGAGCCAGGAGCTTCTTCCAGGTCTCCCACATGGGGGCAGGAGCCTTGGGCCATCTTCTACTGCTTTCCCAGGCCATAGCAGAGAGCTGGATGGGAAGAGGAGCAGATGGGACACGAATTGGCACCCATATGGGATTCTGGCACCACAGGCACAGGCTTAACCTACTATGCCATAGTGCTGGGGCCCCTCTTGATTTTTCTGTCTTAATGACTGAGAGGAGTGAACCAAGATAAGAGTCTTGGCTCCACTTCCAGGAAACTCCTAGTCTAATAGAAGAGGCATTGTTCCTTCTCTGGGAGTCCAGAGTCCAAGGAGAGAAATAGCTCTTGCCCTTAGCTTGTTCCCAGAGCAATGCAGAAAGCATAAGATGCATCGCGAGGAGGTGAAGGTAAAGAGGAAGCCCCCTCAGGGTTGCATGCGTAGTGGGAAAGGAGCTGACAAAGCTGTAGGCCTAGTGTCTGCACCCACATCTCCAGAAAGGCAGTGGGTACTGTGCCACTGAGCAGGCCAGACCCTTCCCTGACCTGGAAGGATATCACCACCACCACCCAGTGTGAGCTCAGCTTCCTCCCAAAAACTCTTGTAATACCTTGGTAAGAACTACAACTACTGTATTAAACCTGTTCTCAGTAAAATGTTAAAATTATTATACTTTTCCTCCTTTCCTGCATGATCAGCCTAAACAGTTTTCTTTGTAGACTCTTAGCTTTATAAAATGATTGTGATTTGCAAACTGTACCCTATAGGGACCCACTTCTATCACTCTGCCTTTCAAATAAATAAATAAAATGTTTTTAAAAAGGAAAGGGTTTTTTTTTTTTTTTTTAAGATTTATTTATTTGAAAGGCAGAGTGACAGAGAGGCGGAGAGAGAGGGAGAGAGAAAAAGAGGTCTTCCATCTGCTAGTTCACTCCCTAAATGGCCGCAATGGCTGGAGCTGGGCCGATCCAAAGCCAGGAGCCAGGAGCTGCTCTGTGTCTCGCACGTGAGTGAAGGGGCCCAAAGACTTGGGTCATCTTCTACTGCTTTCCCAGGCCATAGCAGAGAGCTGGATTTGAAGTGGAGCAGCCAGGACTCGAACTAGTGCCCCTATGGGATGTCGGCACTGCGGGCAGTGGCTTTACCTGCTATTCCACAGTGACTGCCCCAGAAGGGTTTTATTGCTGAACCAAAACAAGATTGAAAAGCACAAGGCTAGTCTTACCCCTTTACTTATAAATGAGGAAATTTAGGTCCAGAGAGAGGAATAGTTTGCTCAAGGCCTGTCAACCAAACAATATCTGACTTAGGGTTAGAACTCAGAATTGTATCTCAGTATCACTTGTCTTTGAGTAATCTCTTTATAGCTAAGTATCAGTTACAAACTTAGAATAAAAATCTTTGTTTTTCTAATGTCATAGAATTTATCACGAAGATAAATGTCTATGAAAACATCTTAGAAATGAAAAAGAAATGGTATAGTGAGGTGGTGAAAAGCTCCAGTTTCAGAAACCTGGGCACTCTGGTTTGGTTGGTTATTTGGCTTGTAACCTTTGGAAAGGTTCTGAACCTCTGTAAGGTTCAGCTTCTTCATCTGTTAATCAAGAAGTTATACTAGTCACCCCCTAAGAGTTGTGAATGAAAAGGAGTTGAGGTGGTCAAGAATGAGGAAGAAGGTAATGGGGTCTCTCAGGTACTCGGCCTGTGATAGCTTTCATCCTGTGGGTTCCCCTCTGGTGCCTTCTCTGTCGCCATAGGATTCCCAGAAGGCTTGAGATTGTAGGGATCCCTCGTTCAAGGGCATTCTTTAGTCCCTTGGGCTCTGTGAGGTTCCTGATTTTTCTCCTGTCTTGGACTTAGGATCCCAAGTATCCTGTGGAGAACTTGCTGAACCCAGACACTCAAAAGGGACCATGGCTCAGCTGCCCTCAGGACAAGAGTGGGCAACTGAAAGTGGAACTACAGCTGGAGAGGGCAGTGCCCATTGGCTACATCGATGTGGGTGAGTCCCATGGAGCTGGGAACCTCTGCAGGAGGACACAGGAATGATATTCCCCTCTAAACGTGCCACTCAAACGGCCCAGTCCATCTGGCTAAGCAGCCTCCGTGAGTAAGCCCTGCCTGGTGTGAAGGGGCCAGGTCTGTGGTGCTTGAGCTACATAACATCCCTGCTCTGCTTTGACCCGCGCAGTCTGGGTAAAACCTCAGGATGCTGACAATTATGAATGTCAGTAAACAGACTCTGCATACACCTCTGAGTGTCAGTGCCAAGAGGATGCTCAAAGGATGAACTGTGCAGAATTAGTCCAGGATTATGGATTGAGAATCTTGACCTCTGCATTCTCTGGAATAAAGGACTGTCAAAGACCACTGATCTCAGCTTTGTCAGGACAGAGAAACATCAGACTCCCTAGCAAGGATTTAAGAGTGACGGAATTTAGCATTACCTGCCAGGGCCAGAGGACAGGGAAACCACGAGTCCCTAAATTCAGGGAAGATTTCTGGCTGGCAGGGCCTGGTGAACCGTCACAACATCACTCAGTGGACCCAGGTCTCATCCCATTGCTGGAACCAGCTCCCTGTTCAACTCCACATGTTGCCGGGCCTAACCGCGGCTTCCAACTACCTCTAGGCTGGAGGAGTGCCCTCTTCCCACCCCATTCTCCTGCCTGCAGTCATCCCCCAGCCCTTAACCTTCTCCCAAATCTGTCATCCCCAGGTAACTGTGGCTGTGCTTTCCTGCAAATCGATGTGGGCCGTTCTTCCTGGTCTCTGGACAGACCTTTCGTCACCCTGCTCCCTGCCACCATGCTGATGTCCCTAACTGATTCAAAGCAGGGGAAGAACAGCTCAGGGGTCCGCATGTTTAAACATGGTAAAGAGGGCAAAAGAGGAAGAGGCGGGGAGGTTTTCGAGAAAGAGAAACAGGGGCTATCAGTGCTGTGGGTGCCGATGGTTGGGAGGAGAGGGTAGTTAATGAATGATTTGCTTGTTGTGAGTTGTGTGATGGGGACGCGTGATGGCTGGGGATATTTATGAGGCATGATTTCTATTTACACATAACTTGTGTAATGGAGAATGGAGCCCAGCATAGAGCACACGCTGGCAGATTACTGGTTTTATTGTTTGTGTAAACCTTGTAAGACAGGTCCAGGATCAGTGTGTAGGTGAATGACGGGAGGCTGTAAGGTGGCTGTAGTTACGTAGCAGGAGGCACTTCCTGACTTAAGTTGATGCCAATCTCTGTTCACTAGGCTCTGCAGAAAAAGCATAAAATCTGACTCCTGGCCTCTAGGGGCTTACAATCTATTAAGGATTTTTCTGGGTTTGCACTGGAGGTGTTTGGACTATTGAAAAGGAAGAATGGTGTGGGGGGAGGGACATATGCAGTGGCAGAGATGAGGTACTGACAAGACAGTGTGGAGGCCTCAAGGGTGAGGGGTTTGTGATACGGATGCATGAGTAGGCATGCAGAGCATGTGGTAGTGTGAGGGAGGGGTCTCAGCTGATCCACTGGGTGAGTAGTGTCCCCACACCCCACCACTGCGGATACAGATACTCATGTTAAAGTGAGGTGCTGGTGAGGTTTCTGGAGAGGTGTAGAATGAGGATGTGTCCATGCTGAGAGCAGTGTGGAACCAGGACAGCTGGGTGACGATGCGGAGGCGCTGGGTCTGAGAAGCCCCTGCCTGGCCTGCTTGGCTTTATCATGCCCTGAGCCCTGAAGCCTGAGGGCCAGTTGCTGATGAGCCCCCTCTTCCTCGTGTCGGAGTTCACTCTGCAGAGCCCCTGCTTGTCTTTCCTTGCCTCAGCGTTTACCTTCTTTTCCTTTCTCCCTTCCGTTTATGTCCGCTTTCCACCCATCCGCCCCTTTTCTGTTTTTCTCCTGGAGATGATTTCCTGGCTCCGGCCTCAGGAGAGTCTTGGGATCGGCTTCGCCTGACCTGCTCCCAGCCCTTCACCCGGCAGCAGTCCTTCGGGCTGGCTTTCCTGCGGGTGCGTTCCTCCCTGGACTCCTCGGATGACCCTGCGATGGATCCCACGGCCCCTGTCCGCCCTGGGCTGAGTCAGGTACGTGTGATGGTGGAGCAAGGCTGCAGTGTTTTCCTTCCCACCTCAGGTTTCTGGTCAGGAAGGTGGTGCTTGATTGAGAGGTAGACAGGCACACAGGCATCAGTGGGCTTGCTACTCTTTCTTGCAGGTGGGAGTGTAATCCTTCTTCCCTCTTACATGTGGAAACTGCGGGTAAATATCATGTGCATAAAGCTATGGGACCAATCATTCTTGGGCCAGAATGCAGGTCTTTTTGGATCCAAACTTAAGGTCACACTTTGTGTATAGGTTCTTGCAGGCCAGAGCTTTCATCAGACTTTTCCTTTCAGTGCCTAAAGTCCCAAAACTCCCTTATAGTCACATCATAATTTTGGAAACTGGAAAACAAAAATGCTTAGGGAGCATCTAGCCCCAGCCACCTCATTTTATGTCTCAGATAAGGAAGCTTACACACATTCAAAGTCACACAGTGAGTCAGAGCAGAGTGGGGACAAGAAATCGGGTCTGCTGTCATCACACCACACTACTTCCCCAAGCATACAGTACATTTCTTAGAAGTTTCAAGCATCTGACAGCCAAGAGCATCACAGGTCACATGAGCGAGCCTCATAAGGGTCACTCCATTGAGGTTACTGAGAAAAAGAAGTGGCAGCATCAGGAGGAGGAAACGGAGTGAGAGCAGACAGAGCAGTGGACACTTTCGTGGTACAGCTTTCAGGGAGACCCAGGGAGCTGTGACAAAGTATGGCTTGGTCTGAGATTTGCTCTTACACGGTGGAAGGGGCTACAGAAGGTAGAAGGACAGCTGAGTGTGCTCCACCATGATGCTTTGGAAGCTGGCATGAATGGAGCCAGGTGTCTGGTCACGGCTGCTAACTGAAATGGAAACTCCGTGAGATTAGGGACCTGCCTGTTCTGTAATGCATTCCTGGAACCTAGAACAGTGCCCAGAGCAAAGCAGGCTTTTGATATAAATGTTCATTGTATAAATGACCTTTCAGAGGGGAGCTGTAGATAGAGTCACTGTGAAATATATCATCCAGGCCAGGACACTGAGGCGCCAAAGAGTGCTATTAATAATTATACCAAGACGACAGGAAAAGCAGGAATATCCCAGGTTGGACATCTGGCCACCTTAGTTTTGGGCTAAATAAAGGCTTCCCCGTTTTTTTCCATTTTGGCCATCTGAAGTACTCTGCACCTCTAGGACCATGGTGGACTGAAGCAGGGAGTGAGCAACTCCAGAGCCATAATGTCAGGAAGCCATTGAACGTCAATGCTGGGTGAAACATACATGTGGGGGCCTCATGAAATCATGGGAAGGGAGGTCCTGGAACAGTTGTGCAGGAGTCACATGGTACATGGAAACCAGTTGATGGCACTCAGGTTTATAATTTTTTAAAATTTATTTACTTATTTTGAAAGAGTTACAAAGGGAGAGAGAGACAGAGAGAGCCCCAGATCATCCATCCACTAGTTCACTCTCCAAATGGCCATAATGGCCAGTGCTGGGCCTGGTGAAACCAGGAGCCGGGAGCTTTATTGGGGTCTCCCATGTGGGTGGCAAGGGCCCAAGCGCTTGGATGATCCTCTGCTTCCTTTCCCAGGCCATCAGCATGGAGCTGGTTCAGAAGTGGAGCAGCCAGGACTCAAACCAGGGCCCATATGGGATGCTGGCACTGCTTAACCCACTACGCCACAGTGCTGGCCCCCAAGGGAGGCCAACTACTTGAACCATCATCATCCATGGCTTCCCAAGCATGCTTTAGTAAGGAGCTGGATCAGAAGCCTTTGGGACTCAAACCAGCGCTCCAGTATGGGATGCAGGCATCCCAAGCAGTGACTTAACCTGCTGCCCACCCCAGTTTTATAATTTGAGACACCTAAAGTGCCATGGACTTATTTCCAATGTGTCAGTCTGATTGGTATATTACAATGAAAGCAAAGCAAGGGCTTTAATTAAGTGAAATAAGATTGTTACAATCACTGATTTTGCAGTAAGGAAACAAAATTATAAATACATTTAGTGGTATCCCAGGTCACCCAGCTAAAGAAGTCAGTGGATTTAAATGCAGACCACTTGACTCTGAGTACTTGGGGCTCAGAAGCAAAGTTCCTGATGATTAGTTTCATTTATAGTTAAGGTTGAATAAACTCTCTATATATGTAGTCATACTCTCTAGTAGTACTGTTGTAAAATTCATAACTAAGATCAGGAATAAATGAAAAACCTAGGAGATTAAACAGAACATTTCCAAATTAATGCTTGGTCCAGGAAGAGACTGAAATGGTGATTAGAAAATATTAAATATTAGGGCAGGCATTTGGCCTGGTAGTTTAGATGCCTGCGTCCCATATTTGTGTGCCTGGGTTCAATACCTGCCTCTAGCCCCTGACCCTAGCTTCCTGCTAATGTAGATCCTGAGAGGCAGCAGTGATGGCTCAAGTAATTGGATTCCTGCTTCCAGGAAGGAGAGCTGAATTGAACTCTTATATCCCAGCTTCAAACTCTGCTCATTGTGAGCATTTGGGGAGTGAAACAGTGGGTGGAAACATTATCTGTCTGTCTCTCTGCCTTTCAAATAAAATGAAATTGGGGAGGGGGACACAGATGGTTGCCATAGTGGTGAAGCAACCACTTTGGACACCTGCATCCCATACCACAGTGCCAGGTTTCAGTTCCAGCTCCACCCTCCATCCAAGCTTCCTGCTAATGTGCACTCTAGGAGGTAGCAAGCTACGACTGACGTACTTGGGTCCCTGCCACCCAAGTGGGAGATCCAGATGGAGTTCTAGGCTCTTAACTGTGGCCTGGCCTACCCCTGGCTATTGTGAGCATTTGAGGAATGAATCAGCACATGAGAGATCTTTTTCTGTCTCTGTCTGTGCCTTTCAAGTAAATATTTTTTTAAGCTTTATTTATTTAAAGGCAGAGTTACAGAGAGAGAGGGGAAGAGACACAGAGATAGATGTTCTACCCGCTGGTTCACTCCCCCAAATGGCTGCAATAGCCAGGCTGAGCCAGGCCAAAGCCAAGAACCAGGAGCACCATTTGTGTCTCTTACACAGGTATTAGAGGCTCAAATACATGAGGCATCTTCTGCTGCTTCCCCAGGTACATTAGCAGGGAGCAGGATCATAAATAGAGCAGCCAGGCCTCAAACTGGTGCTCATATGATATGCCAGCATTGCAGGCGGTGACCTAACCTGCTGCACCACAATGCCAGCCCCCAATACATAGCATTTTTTTATTTTTTTTTTTAAGATTTATTTTATTTATTTGAAAGACAGAGTTACAGAGAGAGGTAGAGACAGAGAGTGAGGTCTTCCATCCACTGGTTCACTCCCCAGATGGCTGCAACAGCCGGAGCTGTGCCGATCCGAAGCCAAGAGCCAGGAGCTTCTTTCGGGTCTCCCACGTGGGTGCAGAGGCCCAAGAACTTGGGCCATCTTCTACTGCTTTCCCAGGCCATAGCAGAGAGCTGGATAGGAAGTGGAGCAGCTGGGTCTTGAACTGGAGCCCATAAGGGATGCCAGCGCTTCAGGCCAGGGTGTTAACCCGCTACGCCACAGCACTGCCCCCCCCCAACATAACATTTTTTTAAAAGAAAATATTACTTCTTAAGCTTGAAAAATGAGGCCAAAGCCATGCTTTATGAGAAAGACATTAACTTTTAAAAGAATCTGTGATACAAGGCTCAGCGTTAAGGGGCTGGCATTGTGGCACAGTGGGTTAAGCCACAACAGTAGCAGCCTCCCATATTGTGCTGGTTTGAATTCTAGTTGGTTGGACTTCCTGCTAATATGCCTGGAAAGGCAACAGAAGATGACCCAAGTACTTGGGTCCCTGCCAGCCATGTGGGACATCCAGATGGAGTTCCTGGCTCCTGGCTTCAGCCAAGCCCAGACCTGGCTGTTGTGGCCATTTGGGAAGTTAACGAGCGGATGAAAGATCGTGCCAGCACCGTGGCACAGTAGGTTAATCCTCTGCCTGCAGCACCAGCATCCCATATGGGCACCGGTTCTAGTCCCGGCTGCTCCTCTTCCAATCCAACTTTCTGCTATGGCCTGGGAAAGCAGTAAAGGATGGCCCAAATCCTTGGGCCTCTGCACCCGCGTGGGAGACAGGGAAGAAGCTACCTGCTCCTGGCTTCGGATCGGCATAGCTCTGGCTGTTGCAACCATTTGGGGAGGGAACCAACAGAAGGAAGACTTTTTTTCTCTGTCTTTCCCTCTCACTGTCTGTAACTCTTAACTTTCAAATAAGTAAATAAAATCTTTAAAAAAAAAATCTCTGTTTCTCTTCCTCTCACTCTCACTCTGCCTTTCAAATATTTAAAATAAATATTTTTTTAAAAAAGAAGAAACAGAGTTGAAAATGAAAGAAAAAGAATTTTTTTCTAATTTTTAAGGGCAAAAAAAGAAATTTATAAAAATAAAAATAGAAATAGCCAAAGATAACTGAATTTTGACAGAGAATTTTAAAAACTGTAGCATGCCACATAAATAAAAGCCTCTGTAGAAATAATCTACATAGAGATCATTGGAAAATTATTATACATAGACATTTATGGAGCTAAAAGAGGTTATAAAATGGCTGTACTAAATAAAGTGACTAATGCTAGAGACACGTGATATCTATCTGTATACAAACATTCACACATGCATCTCTTCATAGATGCTAGAAATGAGGGCTAAAATTGATAGGACTTTAGGTGCAGGTGAACAAAATTGTTCACAAAATAAATCATACTAGAAATTAAATAAATTATTAAGTAATATTTAGTAGAATAATAATGATTAAAATGTCCCCAAATCATTCAAAGTAGAACTATTTGTATATATAAATATATATGTATAATTTGTTTCCCACAAAGGTGTATAGAGATGAATGATTTTTGTACCTACATGAATCAGTTTTGTGTATATATACACAATGTAAAAATTTTGTTTTCAAAAGTTTACATTTGACATCAGTCCCCATAGCCCTGTTTTCCTAACAGTACAAATACTTTTATTCCTGGGGACTTTCAGGTCATAGAAAAACCCTTGGCACTTGGGAACTAAGTGTATGGAATCACAGAATCTCAGTTCTTTTTATTTTTTTTAAGGTTTATTTACTTGAGCGGCAGTTTCAGAGAGAGGGAGAGGCAGAAAGAGAGGTCTTTCATCCACTGGTTCACTCCTCAGATGGCCACAAAGGCCAGAGCTGAGCTGATCCAAAGCCAGGAGTCAGGAGCTTCTTCTGGGTCTCCCACGTGGGTGCAGGGGCCCAAGTCTTTGGGCCATCTTCTACTGCTTTCCCAGGTCATCAACAGGGTTCTGGATCAGAAGTGGAGCAGCTGGGACTCAAACTGGCACCCACATGGGACGCTGGTGCCACAGGCAGATGTTCAACCCACTACACTACAGCGCTGGCCCCAGAATCTGAGTTCTTACAGCTAGAAGAGAACTCAGGAGTTCACACACAGACACATGCCATGCAGAAACTTCAGCAGATTGCGTTCACTTACTAACCAAGTGGAGTTCCTAGGGTTTGGGAGGAGGCCCTGGCACTAGGTGGCAGTGTCCCCTAATGGCTAACCTTGGTATTTCATGTTTTTCCACTTCCTAGGTCTCTTCTGATGACCCAGCAGCTGGTGCCAGCCCCTGGCTGGCTAATCCTTCCATCCGGAGGACGTTCTTCCCAGACCCCCAGAAGTACGTAGCCGCAGTAGCGGAGGTCTCCCAGCCACTTGTCATCTTTCTCCTGGAAGAGAAGGGCCACCAAGTCACTAAGCCACACACAAGCCTGTACCCTCTCACCCACAGTTGACCACATGCTTCAGGCCCAGCCCTGTCTGTGTATCACATTGACTTTCTTGTCAAATGCCATAGCGTGGATGAGCAGAATGAGGCCTAGCTTCTGCCTGAAGTGAAGTACTCTGTTTCCTTGCAGGAACACCACGGAAATGTCAAAGCTCAGGGACATGCTATTGCAGCTGCAGCCGGGGGCCCTGGGCCGTTCAGCCCGCATGGTGCTTTCTGCTGCATGCAAGGTGCCTCCAGCCAGTGTGGCAAGCCCAAGGAGCGACCACGCAGCCCCAGGGCCCAGTCATGTGGAGTGTGCAGGTGAGCTCCGGGATTGCACCTCCCTGTATCTAGCAGTATCCTTCCTCTCTGAATCCACCGGCTGTCATGCAGGCAGACTCACAGGCGGGACTCTGAAAAAGACCAGCGTCAGTGTTGGCAGAAGAGAATAAGCACTGCATGGGAGCTCACACACTGCTGGCCTAGGAGTTAGGAATCCTTAATCCCTTGGGCTCATTTCCTTCTTCTTCAGTGTGAAGGAATTAAACCAAATAATATCTAGGCCCCTTGCAGTCTTCATGTTCTGTGATCTATCTCAGAAAGACCACATGAGCGTGGTGGTGAGTGGAGTGTAATAGAGAAATAAGGTTCAGGAATAGTGCAGTTGTATTGCAGAAGGAGAAAGGGTTAAAAAAAATTGGGATTTTTACTCTGCACCAGACATTTCTAAGCATGTGTATGTGTGTGTGTGTGTGTGTCTGTGTGTGGCAGTTACAGAAAGGGAGATGGGGAGGTGAGGGTGGGAGGAGACAGAGATCTACCATCTGCTGGTTAATTCCTCAATGGCCACAATGGCCAGAGCTGGGCCAGACCAAACCCATGATCCAGGACATGGGTCCAGGACCCAAGGACTTGGGCCATCTTCCACTGCTTTACCAGGCACAGCAGCAGGGAGCTGGAATGGAAGTGGAGCAGCCAGGACCCGAACTGGTGCCCATACAGGATGTTGGCATCACAGGTGGCAGCCTTACCCACTGTGCCACAATACCAGCCCACCTAGGCACTTAATAGCTTTACTTAATAAATGTCTCAACAAACTTATAGTAGAAAGCAGATATGCCATCCTCATTGTACAATCTAAAGTTCAATATAAGTAGCAAAGCCTGGATTTGAACCCCCAAAGCTCTTGTTCTTTTTACTATTCTAGATAGCAAGAAAGAGAAAACCAGCAGGACACTCACTGAAAAGTTAAGAAAACAGAATCACATTATTTCATTCAGAATATATCTTTTTTTTTAATTGAAGATCTTACTTATTTGAAAGGCAGAGAGAGAGAGAGAGGTCTTCCATTCACTGGTTCTCTCCCCAAATGGCTGAAACAACCAGGGCTGGGCCAGGCTGAAGCCAGGAACCAGGAGTTTCATCTGGGTCTCCCATGTGGGTGAAAGGGCCCAAGCACTTGGGCCATGCTCCAATATTTTCTCAATGCATTAGCAGAGAGCTAGATCAGAAGTGGAGCAATCAGGACTTGAACCAGTGCCCATAAAGGATGCTGGCACTGTAGGCAGCGGCTTTACCCACTACACAGCATTGGCCCCTGGAACACTATGTATGTATGTATGTACTGAAAGAAACAGTTACAAAGACAAAGAAGAAGAGACAGAGAAAGAGGTCTTCCATCCCCTTGTTCAATCCCCAAATAGCCACAATGACCAGAGCTGGGCCAGACTGAAGCTAGGAGATTCATCCAGATCTCCCACATGGGTGCAGGAGCCCCAGCACTTGAGCCATCCTCCGCTGCTTTCCCAGGCATGTATGCAGGGAGCTGGCTGAGAAGTAGAACAGCCACACTGCTGCTGCTTAAGTGGTGCTTAACCCACTGCACCACAGTACCAGCCCCTGGAACACTTTTTACAAGGAAAAGACTCTTGTCATTTCAAAGAGTTAAACAAATTAGTAAAATAATGAGTGTATCACTTTGTTTAAAAATGGGAGATATGGTCATCCATTGTTGTGTAACAAATTACCCCCAAATTTAGTTTATGATGATTGGGAATCAGCCATGGCTTAGCTGGGTCCTCCAGCTGAGTGTCATAAGCTTGCTCACCTCAAGGCTAAACTGAAAAGTGTCTGCTTCTCAGCCCACTCACTTGGCTGTTGGTGAGGCTCACTTCCCCAAGGCCTTTTAGACTGAGGCCCTCCTCTGGTCCTTTGCCACAAGAGCCTCTCTGTAGAGCGGAATGCCAGCTTGTTTGATGAAAGTGAGCAAACTACAAGGCAGGAGAGAGTGCCAGCGAGGCAGAGGTCAGCCTTGGACAACCTAACCACTGGAGCACCATCCCATCGCTCTCTCCATAGCCTGTTCATTAGCAGCACTTAGTGGGTTCAGCCCCGACTCAAGGCGAGGCATGTATACCAAGAAGTAGCAATAATTGGGAATCACCTCCATGTAGGAAAGATGGAATGTATTATTTTAAGAGACAGAGAATGGGAGGAAACTAACCATTATTGGGCACCTACTATGAGCTGAAACTTTCAAAGCACTTTGAAATATTCGGTGTTGTAAAAGTGTTTATAAATTCTGTTCACACTCATTTGACAGATGTATATTGAGTATCCCTTATGTGCCAAGTGCTAGGTGGCCAAGATACCACAGGAAATAAAACAGCAATGTTTCTGCAGGTGGCATTGTGGTGTAGCAGGTAAAGCCACCACCTGCAATGCTGGCATCCTACATGGGTGCTGGTTCAAGTCCTGGCTGCTCCATTTCCAATCCAGCTCCCTACTAATGGCCTGGGAAAAGCACCAGAGGATGGTCCAAGTACTTGAGCCCCTGCTACCCTTGTGAAAGTCCCAGATGAAGCTCCTGGCTCCTAGCTTTGGCATGGCTTAGCCCTGGCCATTGAGGCCATCTGGGGAGTGAATCAGCCTATGGAAGATCTCTCTCTTTCTCTTCAACTCTGATTTTCAAATAAATAAATAAATCTTTTTTAAAAAGTCAACATTCCTACTACACTGAAAAGGCACATGTCCAAGGCACACAAAGGAATCTAACCTACAACTCTGGTAAGTGCTTTGAAAGAAAAGCACAGATTTAGATTAGAGAATCCAGGTGAAGTGCCTCATAAGAGTTAGTATTTTGGGGCTGGCACTATGGCATAGTAGGTTAAAGCCCCAGCCAGCAGTGCCAGCATCCCATATGGGTGCCGGTTTGAGTCCCAGCTACTCTACTTTCAGTCCAGCTCTCTGCTATTGCACCTGGGAAAGCAGCAGAGGATGACCTAAGTGCTTGGGCCCCTGCACCCACATGGGAGACGTGGATGAAGCTCCTGGCTCCTGGCTTCCGTTCAGTTCAGCTCCAGCCATTGCGGCTATTTGGGAGTAAACCAGTGGATGAAAGACACTTCCCCTCTACCGCCTGTCCTCTCTGTGTGTAACTCTGGCTTTCAAATAAATAAATAAATCTTTAAAAAAAAAAAGAATTAGCATTTCATCTAAGACTTGGTGAGTGAGGCAAAGAGGATAGAAAAAATATTCTCTTTTTTTTTAAGATTTTTTTTTAATTTGACAGAGTTACTGACAGTGAGAGGGAGAGACAGAGAGAAAGGTCTTCCTTCCGTTGGTTCACCCCCCAAATGGCTGCTATGGCTGGCGCACTGCACTGATCTGAAGCCAGGAGCCAGGCGCCTCCTCCTGGTCTCCCATGCGGGTGCAGGGCCCAAGCACTTGGGCCATCCTCCACTGCCTTCCCCGGGCCACATCAGAGAGCTGGAATGAAAGAGGAGCAACCAGGACTAGAACCCGGTGCCCATATGGGATTCCAGCGCTGCAGGTGGAGGATTAGCCAAGTGAGCCACGGCGCCAGCCCAGAAAAAATATTCTTAAAAGAAGGAGCAACTTTCTGCCTGCGGACGCCGCCGAGGAAGCATCGTCAAGTTCTCTCTTCCCACCGCCATCATGTCGAAGTCAGAGTCGCCCAAGGAGCCCGAGCAGCTGCGGAAGCTCTTCATCGGAGGGCTGAGCTTTGAGATGACCGATGAGAGCCTGAGGAGCCATTTTGAGCAATGGGGCATGCTCACGGACTGCGTGGTAATGAGAGACCCGAACACCAAGCGCTCCAGGGGCTTTGGGTTTGTCACCTACGCCACCGTGGAGGAGGTGGATGCGGCCATGAACGCAAGGCCACACAAAGTGGATGGAAGAGTTGTGGAACCAAAGAGGGCTGTGTTGAGAGAAGATTCCCAAAGACCAGGTGCCCACCTCACTGTGAAAAAGATCTTCGTGGGTGGCATTAAAGAAGACACTGAAGAGCATCACCTCCGAGATTACTTTGAGCAGTATGGGAAAATCGAGGTGATTGAGATCATGACTGACCGAGGCAGTGGCAAGAAGAGGGGCTTTGCTTTTGTGACCTTCGACGACCATGACTCCGTGGATAAGATTGTCATTCAGAAATACCACACTGTGAACGGCCACAACTGTGAAGTGAGGAAGGCCCTGTCGAAGCAGGAGATGGCCAGCGCTTCATCCACCCCGAGAGGTCGAAGTGGTTCTGGAAACTTTGGTGGTGGTCGTGGAGGTGGTTTTGGTGGCAATGACAACTTTGGTCGTGGAGGAAACTTCAGTGGTCGTGGTGGCTTTGGCGGCAGCTGCGGTGGAGGTGGTTATGGTGGCAGTGGGGATGGTTACAATGGATTTGGTAATGACGGAAGCAATTTTGGAGGCAGTGGAGGCTACAATGATTTTGGCAATTACAACAATCAATCTTCAAATTTTGGACCCATGAAGGGAGGAAATTTTGGAGGCAGAAGCTCTGGCCCCTATGGTGGTGGCGGCCAATATTTTGCCAAACCACGAAATCAAGGTGGCCATGGTGGTTCTAGCAGCAGCAGCAGCTATGGCAGTGGCAGAAGGTTTTAATAACTGCCAGGAAACAAAGCTTAGCAGGAGAGGAGAGCCAGAGAAGTGACAGGGAAGCTACAGGTTACAACAGATTTGTGAACTCAGCCAAGCACAGTGGTGGCAGGGCCTAGCTGCTACAAAGAAGACATGTTTTAGACAATACTCATGTGTATGGGCAAAAAAACTCGAGGACTGTATTTGTGACTAATTGTATAACAGGTTATTTTAGTTTCTGTTCTGTGGAAAGTGTAAAGCATTCCAACAAAGGGTTTTAATGTAGTTTTTTCTTTTTTTTTCTTTTGCACCCATGCTGTTGATTGCTAAATGTAATAGTCTGATCATGACGCTGAATAAATGTGTTTTTTTTTTTAAATGTGCTGTGTAAAGTTAGTCTACTCTGAAGCCATCTTGGTAAACTTCCCCAAAAAGTGTAAAGTCAGAATTCATCAGGCTGATGCCAGGTTCCATTTGAGATTTATTTACAAAATGCTTGGGTGGAGAAGCTGTTCTCAGATACATGAGTTACTGTTGTGACCTTCTGAAGTTCACCATTAAAAGCCACCCAAGCAAAGTCATGGGGTTATTTGGTTATAAGAATGATTGTTGGCACATCCTTTGCAATATATCTAAATTGAATAATGGTACCAGATAAAATTACAGATGGGAATGAAGCTGTGTATCATCCATTATCATGTGTAATCAATAAACGATTTAATTCTCTTGAAAAAAAAAAAAAAAAAGAAGGAGCAACATATGTGAAGGGCCTTTTGTTAATAAGTGAAATTTAATGAACATTTCTAACACAGAGCCCAGAGCAGAAGACCACCGCCCAGAGAATGCTGTGAGCAGGAGGAAGAGACGGAAAGGGCAGCGCCGGCGGTAAGTAGGTCAGCGCGAAAGACCCGGATCACCTCTCCAAACCATGCAGCCTGGCTGCTTCAGGCAGGTCAGAGAGGGACACTTGTGACCAGGTCCTGATCTCTCAATCTCTACTGAGAGCAGTAGAGAAAGGATGTCAGACCTGGAGGTAGGTCAAGAGGCAGGCCACAGAGGGCCAGGATCTGAAGGTAAGTACAATCTTAGGGACTTCATCAAAATATAAATCTTTTCTACTTCAGAAAACACTGTCGAGAAAATATTTGCCATCATGTATGTGATAAGGCACTTTGATCTAAAGTATATGAGTATGAAGGGCCCTTACAAGTCAACAGTAAGCAGATAACCCAATTTTTGCAATGGACAAAGGATCTGAACAGACTTTTCTCCAAAGAAGATACACAAGTGGCCCATAAGTACCTGAAAAGATGCTCAGTGTCATTAGCCATCAGAGAAATGCAAATCAGAACCACAGTGATCACACCCCCTAGGATGGCTATGACCAGACAGACACTAACAAGTGTTGGTGAAGATGTGGGGAGACTAGAACTCTCATACATTGCCAGTGGGGATGTAAAATAGAAGTAGCGGCTTTGGAAGACAGGTGGCAGTTCTGCAAAAACTCGGGTTTCCGCATAACCCAGCAGCTCTTCCTAATATGTACCACAAAGAACTGTTAATAAGTATTCACAAAAACAAATATTCAACGCAGTACTATTTATAACAGCCATGAAGAAGGAACAACCCAGATGTCCACCAGCCAATGAATGGATCAACAAAAGTGGTATATCTATACAATGGACTACGGCTCAGCCACTGAAATGGAATGTACTGATCCCTGCTGCAATACAGGCAGACCTGGAAAACGTTACGCTAAGTCAGAGAAGCCAGTCACAGTAGACCACACGGGATACGACTGCATCCACGTCCAGAACAGACAGATCCACGGAGACAGCAAGAAGCTTAGTGGTCCAGAGCCTGTGGGGTCAGGATGGCAAGTGCCTGCTCATAGGTTTGGAGTTTCTTTTGGGGGTGATAGAAATGTCCTGGAATAGAAAATTACTACAGAACCCTGAGAATACAGCAAAACCACTGAACTTGTACTTTAAAAGGGTGAATTTTACTGTATGTGTGTATCAATAGAATGTCTGAGTGCACATCAGTTCCTCGGGCATTCTTTTTGCCCTAACAGCTCATTCAACCCTTATGCTCTTACTGACAGCTGCTCTTTAACTATTCTTCCTCACAGGCCTCTATCTACCTCTAACTCTCAGCCAAACAGGAGGGGGACAGCAAAGGCAGGACCAAGAGAACAACACCCACCCCAGGCCCAGCACGGTGGTGCCCAGGAGAGTGGACAGTGCCCCCTTTGTGCAGGTGAGCTGCGTTGGCTCAGGCTGTGTGATTACGAGGCATTCCTTGAGGGAGGACTGGGAGATCTGGGAGTTTGGCCAGAAAAACCTATAGCTGTGGACTCGTAGGTAGCCCCCATCATCTCTGCAGCTCCAGGAGTGCTGCTGCAGTTTTAGGCGACTGTAATTCAAGACAGTCTCTTGAGCACTGGTTCACATCATGTCAGCTAAGCTGAGAGAATGCCATGGGCCAACCACACAACCTAAGACAGCATCAGAGAGGGCCTAGACTCCTCGTAACTTGTCCCTCCGTGAACAAATTCTGCTTAGTTGAAGTTGTTCACATGGAGCTTCTTTGCTGAGGTTTTTTTTTTTTTTTTTTTTTTTTTTTTTTTTTAAGATTTATTTATTGGGCCAGCGCCGCGGCTCAATAGGCTAATCCTCCGCCTTGCGGCGCTGGCACACTGGGGTTCTAGTCCCGTTCGGGGCGCCGGATTCTGTCCCAGATGCCCCTCTTCCAGGCCAGCTCTCTGCTGTGGCCAGGGAGTGCAGTGGAGGATGGCCCAAGTGCTTGGGCCCTGCACCCCATGGGAGACCAGGAGAAGCACCTGGCTCCTGCCTTTGGATCAGCATGGTGCGCCGGCTGCAGCGCACCAGCTGCGGCGCGCCGGCCACGGCGGCCATTGGAGGGTGAACCAACGTCAAAGGAAGACCTTTCTCTCTGTCTCTCTCTCACTGTCCACTCTGCTTGTCAAAAAAAAAAAAAAATTTATTAATTAATTTGATTGGCAGAGTTACAAAGAAAGGAAGAGACAGAGAGGAGAGAGGCCTTCCATTCGTTGGTTCACTGCACAAATGGCCTCAATGGCTGGACTGGGCCAGGCCAAAGCAAGGATCCAGGAACTTCTTCTGGGTGCAGAGACCCAAGTGCTTGGGCCATCTTCTGCTGCTTTCCCAGGTGCATTAGCAGAGAGCTGGATTGGAAGTAGAGCCGCATTGCAGGTGGCGGCTTTACAGCACCGCCCCTGATGTTTTGCTGATCTTCGCAGATGATCTCTAGGCTGAGCTCCTAGAGCATTGCTGATTCCCTGGGGCTCAGCACTTCTTTGTATCTTATTTGCATTCCTGGCTTAGCTTTACCACTAGACTCTAAGGACAAGCCCCGGTCTCTATCCCTCAGCTCCCAGCATGCTGTCAGGCATCTGGTAAAGAGTAAACATTTGCTGGAGTGTGCTAGTATCTCGGGGTGAATGTGTGCCGTGGTCAACTTCCTGCTGAACAGCTGCACCTTTCCTGCAGATTTCTCGGGGTGCCACCCTGCCAGGCACAGATCCAATTTTGTTCACCTCCATCTCTCCCCATTCAGGCTCCTTTAGCACTGAAACTCTTCCCCTGCATGCGGCCACTTGTGGAGAGACCACCCCCCCTCACCCGGCTTCTCCCTCCTCATCACCATCTTCGTTGCTGTCTGTACTGTGGGTGTCCTCTCCAGAGAGCTCGCCACTCCCTTCCTGGATCCAGTGCCCTATCTGCCAGTTGCAGTTCCCAGCAAGAGAAGTGGAAGAACATGCCAGCATGTGTGGGGAGGCCCATGAGCCGTGAGCCAGGAAGCCTCGTGGGCTGGGCCCTGGCCTCTTTGACTAAGACTGGATCATGCATCTCTAGACAGCTGAGAAGGACTCAGGAGGCCAAGCCACCCGCCCTCACTCCCTCCACGCATTCCCTCTGGGCCCAGGCTGCTCTCCATTCCCAGTTGTCAAGGCTTCTGTCACTATGGTACCCAGTCCTAGAGACAGCTCAGTCCTTTTCCCCTTCGGAATTTCGTGGGACTGGTGCTCTGTCGAGGGCCTTGGGACATCACCCAGAAAATCTGCCTCATGAGGAGCAGTACAAATCCCCAGGCCCATTATCCTGAAAGGAAAAGTGAGGCCTAGTGAAAAGAAAAACAGCCTGACATATCAGAGTCCAGGGGATGCTGGGCAGGTGAGTGGGTTTTGAGCATGAGACTGACGTCCAGCATTCCATGAGCTTAACTCGGTGTCCTCTGCGGGCTCCCTGCCTCAGCATAATCACGTGGTGCTGCTGCGTGACTAAGCAAGTCACTGCTCTCAGGCCCAGAGTTAACATCGGTGACAGAGAAAACCCCCACCCTCGTGCTCTCTGAGCTGTTTCGGGGAGCAGCTGTTCAAGTTTGTGGATCCCTGGGCCCACTGCCCCTTCCACACAGGGAGGTGGCTGGGCCAGAGGGTCTGGAAAGTTCCCAGCTTCAGGCAGCCACACCCTCTCTCTCCACTCCCTGAAGGTTTCACAGTGTGGCACTAACATCAATTCCCTGGTCCCCAGGGTACGAGGCAGAGGGGGAGCAGCTGGTCCTGGTAAAGGGAGGGCCTGGGGCGGGGTTTCAGACAGACAGGGAAGAGGATCTAGGCACAGTCAGGGGAGCAGACAGCAGGAGTTCAGTCCTCAGACCTTGGCAGCATAGGTGGGTGCAGCCATGGACCCCCTTACGGTAAGAGGCCTTCCCTATCCATTCCCATTCTCACAGGAATAAGACAGTAGAGTGGCCCAGAGAGGAGGCAGGGACATGCTAGCTGCCATGCGGGTGGTAGGTGTCACCATGTGAGTGGGAGAAGACCCCCGGAGCCCAGAGGAGAAGAGCTGTGAGCATGAGCCTGGACCCAGAGAGAGAGGAACAAGGGGGAGGGACACCCTTCAGAGCAAATGGCAGAGTCGAGGGGCTTGGGTGGAAGGGGAGCAGGTCAGGATGGTGGTGGCTGACCTGGCCTGGAGCTGAGGGGCTTAAGAAAAGACCCTCCTGTGTGGACATGTCTGGACTTGCCCTTCAGAGAGGCTTGCGCACTTTCAGAGGGGTGAGCAGCTGGGAGCTGAAGTCAACAAGATGGGAGCCGGCCTCCCGGCAGGTGCTATGAGCCCACAACCCCACGCACCTGATTTAACCTCCCCCTTCTCTGGGTAACCACAGTTGGCCTTACTGGGGGCGGGTGGGGGATGTTCCTGTGAGGGTTGAAGTGTCTAGTTCTGACACTTCCTAACCTGAAAATCTGTACAATAAAATGTTGAATCAGACAATTTTTGCAAAGTATGTGTTTGGGATAAACAAAATTATTATGGTGGCTGGGAACAGAGGATTAGGGCCCTGGAAAGTGGAAGGATAAGGGAGGCCCCAAAACAAAGGGGTCAAAAACTCAGGGTCCTGCAATCTCCACGCCTTCACCAGCCACAGCCCAACTGGACCGAGATCGTGAACAAGAAGCTCAAATTCCCACCGCCACTCCTGGGTGCCATCCAGGAGGGGCGGCTGGGTCTTGTGCAGCAGCTGCTGGAGTCGGGGGTGGAGGCCACCGGTGGTGGGCCTGGAGGGCCCCTGCGGAACGTGGAGGAGGCCGAGGACCGCTCCTGGAGGGAAGCCCTCAACCTGGCCATCCGCCTGGGCCACGAGGCCATCACTGACGTGCTGCTGGCCAATGTCAAGTTTGACTTCCGGCAGGTCCATGAAGCCCTGCTAGTGGCAGTGGACACAAACCAGCCAGCCGTGGTGCGGCGCCTGCTGGCCCGGCTGGAGCGGGAGAAAGGCCGCAAGGTAGACACCCGCTCTTTCTCCCTGGCTTTCTTTGACTCGTCCATTGATGGCTCCCGCTTTGCACCCGGGGTCACTCCCCTCACCCTGGCCTGCCAGAAAGACCTGTATGAGATCGCGCAGCTGCTCATGGAGCAGGGCCACACCATTGCCCGGCCGCACCCCGTCTCCTGCGCCTGCCTGGAGTGCAGCAACGCCCGGCGCTACGACCTGCTGAAGTTCTCCCTGTCGCGCATCAACACCTACCGGGGCATCGCCAGCAGGGCCCACCTCTCGCTGGCCAGTGAGGACGCCATGCTGGCTGCCTTCCAGCTGAGCCGCGAGCTCAGGCGCCTGGCACGCAAGGAGCCCGAGTTTAAGGTTGGTGTTCGCGGTGCTGTGTCTGGTCTGCTGGAGCGCTGTTGGGACTGTGGTGGGGGTTCCAGGAAGAGGGGGGCAGCAGGAGAAGGCCCAGTCTCTAGTCTCAGGAAACCGCCATTTTAAGAGGGAGTCACAGGATTTCCTTCTAACAGCAGATGGCGGCCACTGTGTGGACAGCAAGGGTGAGGAGGGTGCTCTGCGAGGCACCTGAGGAGGGAGGGGAGAGGACAGAAAAGCAGCGGGACGGACTTGGAGACGACACTGGCAAGAACGAGGCTCCCTGAATGGAGCGCGGTGTGCAGGCTCTCAAGCTTGTGATCGCCAGCGAGGAGGGTGAGGAGGGGCTCCAGACGTTCCCTGGACACCCAGGCCCACCGGCCGCCTCTGGTGGTGCTCATGGGACCCTCTAGAGTGCAGAAAAACGAGCTCAGAGACTCTAAAAGAGGCAGCTGTAAGCTTAGCTGCTGCCAGTGTAGAGGAGCAGGGAGACCATTTGAGGTAGGGCTGTGGCTTGAGCAGAGGATCTCGGGTGGCCAGTGTCTGCAGTGATGAGTGCAGGGGACGCCCTGGACAGGACCGAGAGTCACGGCGTGGAACCCAGGGCTGGCTGGGGCCCAGTTCGCCCACCCTTCATGAACTGACATCCCCTGTGTGCCAAGCCGGCATTAGTCCTCACTGTCATAATTACTTTTAGGTGGGAAAACTGACTAGGACATTCAACCAAGCCTAAGGCAGCTGCAGAAAGCACATGCGCCTTGGCTGGTGTGGTAGGACAGGACATCACCCCACCACTGTCAGTCAGCCGGAAAGGGCAGTGCTGGCTAAAGGCTTTCTCACCGTTGTCATGGCGGCGGCCCACTGAGGGAGGCATAGCAGGAACCCTCACCCCTTCACAGGCAGGAAGGGGAGGCCTGGCAAGGGGAAGTACCTTGCCCTCCATGACCCCACCTGAGGGGCAGTGCCAGGCCTCCTGAAAGCCTCACCCAGGTCCTCTTGGGGCAAGGCCCTCACCTAAAACCAAGGATCTGAAAGGTAGAGCAGATAGGAGCTGCTGTTCGTCTCTGCATCTCCCATAACTGCCCGCACAGGCTTGCCTAGAGTGTAAGGAGGTGCTGAAAAAGTTAAATGAAGGAGCATTTCATAACGTGAGGCCGAGTGATGGGATCCGCTCCCCGGCGAAGGAGCAGAATCAGATGAGATAGTGACACAGATAACTGCTGAATCATGCTGACGCTTCTTTCAGCAGCTGATGCAAGATTTAGACCCCAGTGCCGGCTTTACTTCACTCTTTAGTTGTAGGTGTGAGTGGGATGAGCCCTCCGACTGTGCAGAGCTGGCTTTGGGGACAGAAGAGGAGACCCCGTAATTGCAAAGTTTATGCCTTAACATCTCAAATCTGATTTTTTGGGTATGCATCCTCTTTTTTCCTTTTTTTTTTTTTTTTAAGATTTATTTATTTATTTGAAAGGCAGAGTTACAGAGGTAGAGGCAGAGGGAAAGAGATCTTACATCTGCTGGTTCATTCCCCAGATGGCTACAATGGCAGGAGCTGGGTCGATCTGAAGCCAGGAGCCAGGAGCTTCTTCCTGGTCTCCCACATGGGTACAGGGGCCCAAGGACTTGGGCCATCTTCTACTGCTTTCCTAGGCCATAGCAGAGAGCTGGATAGGAAGTGGAGCAGCCAGGTCTCAAACCAGTGCCCATATAGGATACAGGCACTACAGGCTTTACCCGCTATGCCACAGCACCAGCCCCATGCACCTTTTTTTTTTTTTTTTTTTTTTTTAAAGAAATGTAAACCTGGGCTGGCGCCGCGGCTCAGTAGGCTAATCCTCCGCCTTGCGGCGCCGGCACACCGGGTTCTAGTCCCGGTCAGGGCGCCAGATTCTGTCCTGGTTGCCCCTCTTCCAGGCCAGCTCTCTGCTGTGGCCAGGGAGTGCAGTGGAGGATAGCCCAGGTACTTGGGCCCTGCACCCCATGGGAGACCAGGAGAAGCACCTGGCTCCTGCCATCGGATCAGCGCGGTGCGCCGGCCGCAGCGGTCACTGGAGGGTGAACCAATGGCAAAGGAAGACCTTTCTCTCTGTCTCTCTCTCTCTCACTGTCCACTCTGCCTGTCAAAAAAAAAAAAAAGAAAAGAAATGTAAACCTAAAGCAATTTAAGGTTTCTGTTTAAACTTGCAGCTTTTTTTTTTAAAGACAACTTTATATATTTTTTTGACAGGCAGAGTTAGACAGTGAGAGAGAGACAGAGAGAAAGGTCTTCCTTCGTTTGGTTCGCCCCCCAAATGGCCGCTATGGCCAGTGCTGTGCCGATCCGAAACCAGGAGCCAGGTGCTTCCTCCTGGTCTCCCTCGTGGGTGCAGGTGCCCAAGCACTTGGGCCATCCTCCACTGCATTCTCAGGCCACAGCAGAGAGCTGGATTGGAAGAGGAGCAGCCGGGACTAGAACCAGGCACCTATATGGGATGCCAGCGCTGCAGGTGGAGGATTAGCCAAGTGAGCCACGGTGCTGGCCCCTGCAGCTTCATTAATGACAAGATTGAATTGATAATTAAATATACCACTCAGATTTCTTAACGTAAGAGGCAAACAAATTCTTTTTACCATGAGAAAAAAAAAGCATAAGGAATTGGAGAGAAGGTGGGACAGGAAATAGGGATTGGAAAAGGAAGTGCAAAGAATGGGCACAGGTGACAGAAGGTTTGGGTGGGAGTGACTTCGTGATGACATGCAGATGGCGTCAGATAAGCAAAGTTGACACAGGAGGTGCCTCACCTGGACTGGGGAAAAAGGGGAGCGGGGTGGGGGGGTGATGCTGTGGCCCAGTGGGTTAAAGCCCCAGCCTGCAGTGCCAGCATCCCATTTGAGCACAGGTTCGAGTCCTGGCTGCTCCACTTCCAATCCAGCTCTCTACTATGGCCTGAGAAAGCAGTAGAAAAACTCCTTGGGTCCCTGCACCCATGTAGGGGACCTGGAAGAAGCTCCTGGCTCCTCGCTTCGGATCAGCTCAACTCTGACCATTGCTGTCATTTGGGGAGTGAACCAGAGGAATGGAAAGATGGCTCTACCTCTCTGTAACTCTGTCTTGCAAATAAATTGAAAAAAAAGAAAGAGAGAGAGAGAGAGAGAGAGGAAAGGGAGCAGAAGGAAAAGAAAGGACACCGATGTAGGAAGTGGTGGCCCAGGATGATTTAGTGGGGCTGAGGCCACAGGGGCCGATACACACAGACCTGCTTCCCTGCAGCCTGAGTACATCACGCTGGAGTCGCTGAGCCAGGACTATGGCTTTGAGCTGCTGGGCATGTGCCGGAACCAGAGTGAAGTCACCGCAGTGCTCAACGACCTGGGCGAGGACAGCGAGACGGAGCCTGAGGCCGAGGGCCTGGGCCAGGCCTTTGAGGAGGGCATCCCCAACCTGGCGAGGCTGCGCCTGGCCGTGAACTACAACCAGAAACGGGTCAGCTGGGAGCCCCTGCCCCCACCCCATCCTGCCCCACTGGGGGCCATCTCTAGGGTTCCCCCACTTCAGCCCTAAGCAGTTACTTTTCCTGTCCTCAAGACTCTCTTGAACCTTAACCCCCCAGCCTCCCTTCTTACCTTCCATCTCAGTCCTAACCTCCCTCAAAGACCGTGACCATCTAAGAGTCCACCTTCAGATGGGGCTTTTGGGTCTTAGACTCCGTGTGGCCTCTGGGCCGCCAGGTAACTGTGGTGTGGACTGCAGTAGCCCTCTCTCAGGGCTTCAAGGTCAAGCGCTGCTGTTCTTCCTCTCAGGAGACATCCTCCCCATGCTGAAGACAGACCCTTGTCTAGCCTCCCTAGCCCCTTCTCCCTGCCCTCCTCCACCCTCAGGTGCCCTGGTCCACTGAGAACTTAGCCAGACACGCCCCTGCACAGGGGTTCCCCGGCCCTGCACCCTCCCTGCCCTCCCCACTCTAGTCAAACTTGGGCCCTGCAGGTTTGGGGACCTGGACACCTGGTGCTACCCAGCACTCTCTGACTCACATTCAAGAATCTGGGGCCTGGAGAGGTGTGGGGGCTGCCCACAGTCACATGCCAAGTTGCCTGTCTCTGGGCAGCCCAACATGGGAGGAGAGGGGATGGTCTAGTCTCTGGCGGTAAGGGCCGTCACCCAACCGGCTCCACCACCTCCCCTCTACCCATGCCCCACCTTTGCTCAGTTCGTAGCTCACCCCATCTGCCAGCAAGTCCTGTCCTCGATCTGGTGTGGGAACCTGGCCGGCTGGCGTGGAAGCACCACCATCTGGAAGCTCTTCATCGCCTTCCTCATCTTCCTCACCATGCCCTTCCTCTGCCTCGGCTACTGGCTGGCGCCCAAGTCCCGGGTACTAAGAATGAGATTAACGATGCCTGTCATTTACTCAGCGTCGGCTCTATGCCGGGCCCTGGGCTGGGCACTTTGTGCGGGTGCCCATTGAGTAGGTTGAGGTAGCCCTGGAAGGAAAGCATCACACCTGTTTCATGCAGGAAGAAATGTGCGGGGTTCACGGTAAGGAGCAGGGTCAGGATTTAGACCAAGTCCTATAGACAGCCCTGCGCCATCCCAAAGAGGGTCCTGACCCATCCTACAGGCTCTTGGAGAGCCCCTCATCCAACAGACGTGTCCTTGAGCTCCACTGGGCTTTATGGAAGAGCAAGGCCTGCTCCTGTTAAGCAGGTAAGCAGTGAGGAGGGTGCAGAAAGCAGGGAGGCAAGCAAGGCAGCAAGGCCCTGGGCAGGAGGAGATGAAGGCTGAGAAGAAGGACGCCCAGAACGGGGGCTTGATGAGCGGAGCCCCATCAGCCCTGTGTTCTGGAATGTTCCCTCTGCTAGTGGTGTGAAAGGTGGATTGGGGGACAGGGTGGGAGTGTAGGGACCAGGTTCCTGGCCTGCCTGAGCTGGTCACTTTATGAGGTGGGGCCAAAGCAGAAGGAGCAAGTTTGAGACTGAACTGACGCATTTCTCTATCGACTGGGTTGTACTCAAAGAGTCTGTGGGACTCCCCAAGAGAAGGTAAGCTAGCTTCAGGGCGCCTCAGCTCCCGGGACCATGGGACTGAGACCACCTGCATCACACTGAGGGAGACTGCAGACAGGAAAGGGTGGGGCCTGACGCATTCTCAGTAGAGGTCTGGAAGAGAGACATGCTGAGCAGTCCAGAAGGGCTCCCAGGAGGCGAGACTGAGCTGCACTCTCTGCCTCTCCCCGAAGCTGGGCCACCTGCTCAAGATCCCAGTGCTGAAGTTCCTGCTGCACTCCGCCTCCTACCTGTGGTTCCTCATCTTCCTGCTTGGAGAGTCCCTGGTCATGGAGACGCAGCTGAGCACCTTCCGGGGCCGCAGCCAGAGCGTCTGGGAGACTTCACTGCACATGGTTTGGGTCACAGGTATGTAGGTAGGGCCCTCTATCTGGGACAGTCTCCCTGGGGGCCCCCCTTCACTGTCCTCACATAGGCTCCCTCGTGGGAGTCTCTGCCTCTGTCACTGCCCCCAGAATATACAACCAGGCCCTCGGGGCTCTCGTACACCAGGGGAGCCCTGTGGAAGATTTCCTGAGCACTCTGAGGTTTCCAACCTCTCACAGGTAAGGCACCTGTCTACGGTGCCAGGTGGGAACTCACCTCGCAGTGCCAGTGCAAGGACTGCCAGACAAGTTAGCCCCCAGGTCAAAGAGCAGAAAGGCTCCCAGACCACATTAACATGCTCACATCATGTGGTTTATTTCCAAGTCCCTACATGGTGCTGCTGTTTCAAGGACCAGATTTGAGGCTATGGCGGGGCACTAAGACAGACAGAGGATGCCCGTGCCCAGCACTTGACAGGTGGGAGAAGCAGTGACCAGGCTATGTGGCCCCAGCTGTAGCTGCCAGTTTCTCCCATGAGCAGCTCTGAATTTTACGTGCATTCCTGGGGCAGAGGATGTGTGGAGCCAGCGTGGACTTGACCAGTGGGAAGCTAATTGAAGACCTGATGCCTCATATGCCCCGTGCATGCTCAGGGTGTCTGGCATATCTGGTGTCTCTGCATCCCTTTCTGTGTACATTCACGCCCGTATGCCACACTTACTTCATCTGTCCATCACGTCAGCCAGCTAACCAACTCATCTATGCTTCCTGTGTACACGGCATCCACTCCATTGGCTTTCTTTTCTTCCATAGCAGAATCAAATATCCTCAAACAATCTACACTGCAGGCTACAGGAATCCCCAGGGTTCCACTCCGCCTCAGGCCTCCACTGACCTCCCTCCTTTAGCTCTAGCTTGGTTAGCAAACGCCCAGGCCACCAGTGTACCAGGTCTGCTCCACCAGCCAGTTAGTGATGTCCACAAGGAAAGTGGGCCAAGACAGTTTAGGGGATCACAGCCCAAGAGAGAACACTTCTCATCCTATTATTTACTAAATGTGTCTTGGCCTGGAGATAAAACCCATATGCTTCCTGCCTCCAGGGGAAGAGAAGTCAGAAACAAGTGGAACAAGATACATTTGTTCACTTGATCAATGTTTGCCGAAGCCCTCTTATGAGCCAAGCCCTGAGAATACAGGAAAGATTGAGACATGGTTCTGTACCCCACTGCGCATGCCCTACCCTCACAGGGCTCTCCTGCCACCCTGCACCGACTGCCACCTCCAGCCATGTCACCTTCCCACTTGTCTCCAGGCCTTTTCCCACTCCATGTTCCTAGAGCTCTCACCCTGGCTCACTCTGCCCCTGTACCAGCCTGGCTCCCACTCCACCTCCAGGTCTCCCCTTAAACACCGCTGAGATGCTTTTCCTGGCCCCCACCCCAGTCCCTCTGCTCCTGTGCTCCTCAGTCTTAGCAAGTGGCCTGGTTCTGCTTGGTTGCTCCTCGGCCCCCTCACTAGATCAGAAGCCCCAGGAGGACAGGGACTATACCACGTCAGTCTTGTTCACCGCAGGATCCCGCCTGCAAACAGTAGGAGCTTCATAAATATTTAATTTGGGCACTAGGGATAAAGAAACGAATTTATACGTGGTCTCTACCCTTGAGGGACTCCAAGTTCAGGGGAATGATGGAAGGAGACAGACCCATGGAGAAACACCTTGCACTGCCCGGTAGTGTTAGCATCAGAGAGAGGCCAGAGAGCTATGAGAACAGAGCAGGGAGGACTCATGGGGAGATCATATTTAACCCAAGCCACGAAGGCGAGCTGGACAGCCAAAGGGTGTGGAAGGGTGCTAGAGGCAGAGGGCGCCAGGAGTGAGTGTGCAGGAAATGGAGAAGAGATCTCCCAAGTGACGTGGGTTCCCTGAACAAGCTGCTAATCTGGAGTCCCTGCCAAGCACAGAGCACAGAGAGACAGATTTAGATTATTCCTTCCTCAGTGAACAGTGTCCCCTGGGTGCCGGCTGCCTGTGCTGGATGGGTGCAGGCCTCGCTGGCAGAGAGAATGAGTTGGTAGCAAAGAGGAGTCTTTCTTTCTTTCTTTCTTTCTTTTTTTTTTTTTTTTTTAAGATTTATTTATTTAGTTGAAAGAGTTACACAGAGAGAGGAGAGGCAGAGAGAGAGAGGTCCTCCATCCCCTGGCCCACTCTGCAGACAGCTGCACAGCCGGAGCTGCGCCAATCAGGAGCCAGGAGCCTCCTCCGGGTCTCCCATGTGGGTGCAGGGGGCTGACTTGGACTGCCCTCCACTGCTTTCCCAGGCCACAGCAGAGAGCTGGACCAGAAGTGGAGCAGCCGGGACTTGAACCGGTGCCCACATAGGATGCCAGTGCTTCAGGCCAGGGCGTTAACCCGCTGCGCCACAGCGCCAGCCCCCAAGAGGAGTCTTATTCCCGCAAAAGATCACTTGGTACCTGAGTAGAGGAACCGGTTACATTTCTCAACTTAGCTCCCCGCTGCCATCAAAGGAACCCCCCTCCGCCCTCCTCCAGCTCTGACCTAGCAGGAGCCAAGAGTTCTGCCCCATCCCGGCCTGGCCCTGCCACCCCCTGCAGGCTTCCTGTGGTTCGAGTGTAAGGAGGTGTGGATCGAGGGCCTGCGCAGTTACCTCCTGGACTGGTGGAACTTCCTGGATGTGGTCATCCTGTCCCTGTACCTGGCGGCCTTTGCCCTGCGCCTCCTGCTGGCTGGCCTCGCCTACATGCACTGCCGGGACGCCGCGGATGGGGCTGCCTGCCGCTATTTCACCACAGCCGGTGAGTGCCCCCCCCCCCCTCCACTCAGCCCTGAATCCCCCAGTCCCTCCTCCTTCGTGGCTCCTGGCCACAGCCCCCTTTCTTTTCTGCCCTGCACAGAGCGGAGTGAGTGGCGCACGGAGGACCCCCAGTTCTTGGCTGAGGTGCTCTTCGCTGTCACCAGCATGCTGAGCTTCACCCGCCTGGCCTACATTCTGCCAGCCCACGAGTCGCTGGGCACTCTGCAGATCTCCATCGGCAAGATGATCGACGACATGATCCGGTGCGCTGCGCCCTGCCCCCTGAGAGCCCCCAGTTCTTCACCTGCCTTCCCTCTGGGGCCCTGTAGATGTGAATGTATGCTTCTCTGCAGGGAGCCTCTGTAACTCTCATTCTCCAAGAGGCCCACCGCCCTAGGAGAGCTGACAAACCGCTGACAGCAGGAAGAGCGCTTGGTAGGGACTTGGAGTCCCCAGTCCAGCACTTTGCCAGCGGCCGCTCTCTGGGCCTGTTTTCCCATCTTCAAGGAAAGCTAAGGCAGCAGACTCAGCGGTCCCTTTCGATTCTTCCCTCTACAGCTGCTCTTTGAACCCATGGCTTTCCCTGGTCTCC